CGTAGTGGACGTAGGTGAGGTGGTTTCAGGTGAGACAGTGTCGGTTGATGTTGTCTGTGGCGTGCTAGACGAAGTATGGGAGGAGACATGTGATGGTGGGGGGGCTGGTTGTGGACGTGGGATAGGAGGGATGGGGCGATGGTACACACGGAGTGATAGGAATACTTGGTGACAGAGGTGGCGATGATGGGGGTGGTGTTGGTGCGGCCGTAATTGTGGGAACAGGCTGGAGAGGTGGGTCAAGAGTGATATCGGTGAGATGCATAGGAGATGGTGTAGTAGAAATAGACCTGGATGGAGCAGACGAGAGAGTTTTAAAAGGATATGTGTCCTCATGAAACCTAACATGACGGCTAACATAGACTCGACCTGCGAAAGGATCCAAACAACGATAGCCTTTATAACCGGATGCATAGCCAAGGAAAACACATTGAACTGAACGAGGTGATAATTTATTGGCTGAGGTGGCATTAAAATTTGGATAACAGGCAGAACCAAATACTCGCATAAAGGAGTAATCTGGAACTCGGTTAAAAAGTTTTTGATACGGAGTAAGACCATTTAAGGTAGGAGAGGGTAATCTATTAATAATATATGCAGCAGTAAATATGGCATCGACCCAATAGTGACTCGGAACCGAAGCTTCAAGAAGCATGGTCCTAGTTAACTCAAGTAAATGACGATGCTTGCGCTCAGCAACCCCATTCTGTTGAGGTGTGTCAGGACAAGATTTTCTAAAATAAATGCCATTAGCAGAAAAAAATTGCTGCATATTATTATTAACAAATTCACCTCCCCCATCACTTTGAAAAATTTTAATTTTCTGATTAAAAAGATTTTCAACCAAAGCTTTAAAATTTTTTAAGTGCATGAAAACTTCATTTTTGTGACACATGGGATATATCCAAGTATAACGAGAAAATCATCAATGAAACATACATAATACTTGAATCCCAAATTTGAATACACAGGTGACTGCCACACATCAGAATGAATAATTTCCAAAGGAAAAATAGAATTATGACTAGCATCCATAAAAGGTAAACGTTGTGATTTTCCTAAACGACAGGCCACACACTCATGAGTAAAGGGAGTATGACTACATAAAAATTGTTTTCTCTTAAGAAACTGTAAAGTACTATCACCACAGTGACCTAATCTACGGTGCCACACAGGGCCAGAAGCTAAAACGGAAGCAAAAACTAATGGTGATGCTGACGGCAGATGGAGAGGATAAAGTGGTCCACTACTAGTAGCTCGCAGAAGTATTGCCCCCGTTGCTTTGTCCTTAATCAAGAAAGAATTTTTATCAAAAATTACAGTACAATTATTATCAGCACACAAAGCCTTTTAATGGAAATTAAATTATATTTTAACTGAGGCACATGATAAACAGATTTTAAAGTGAGAGGAAGACCAGATGTAGGTAAAGCAACATCACCAATATTACATATGGGAAGATGGGCACCATTGGCAACACTAACAGAATTATAGCCGGTGTAGGGAGATTTATTAACTAAATTACCTTCAGATGCAGTCATATGAGCAGAAGCTCCTGAATTAGGAAACCATAGAGCAGGAGTAGTGTCACCGGGAGTAGTCAACAGAGCAGGAGACGTCGGTTGTGTGAAACGAGAAGGACAGTTAATGGCAGAATGACCTGCAGAAAAACAAATTTGACAGACAACATGATGGGGAACAGATCCGAGAATACCCCCGTCTGATGGCAAGCTTGTATGACTACTGTTAGTAACACAGATAGGTAAAGCATTAATATTTAAACGTGACACAGCAGAATTACAAATAACAGTACCCGTAGATGTCACACCCCCTGCAGGAGTACTCGGCTGCCCACCCCCTCCGGGGTAATAAACTGGATGCCCCTGGGGGAACCAATATGCCTGCTGCTGCTGTCCTCAGCCACGCCCCCTGCCTCCGCGGCCTCTACCGCGCCCACGTCCTCGCTCGCGCTGTGGAGCGCCGTTCTGCCGAGCCTTTCCGACCGGGTAAGTCTGCTGCCCGACCGGGTGAGTGGATCCTGAGTTCTGCTGGGTTGGCTGCTGCCCAGACGACTGCCTGGGATATGAAACAGCCGCGCCAAACGCCTGATGAAAGGACTGTGACTCCTGGGAGCGGAGATAAAGGACCCGCTGCTCTAACTCAAGAAGATGATTACGGAGAGTCTCAAACGGGAAATTTTGTCCAAATAAGGACACAACAGTGTATAAAGATTCATACTCAGGTCCTAGACCCATAATAGTAGTTTTTAAAATTTCACGCTGAGGCACAGGGCAATTGATTGTGGCAAGATCATCAGCTAATGTTTTAATTTCTCGCAAATAATTATCCATGGACTGATCAGGTTTCTTTTTAATTTGATTAAATAAACGCTTTAATTCCATAGATCTCGCTAAACTAGCAGACATAAACCGAGACTCCAACCGCTCCCAAATTTCATATGAATGTTTTAAATCACGTACATCGATAAGAACATCCCTAGATAGGGTTGCAAATAACCATGAACGGATGGTTTGATCAATTCTTAACCAAGTAGAAAATTCGGGATTGGGAGTTTGACGGTTAAGAGCATCTATGGAATAAGCAGGTGGTACCTGAATGGAGCCATCAACCATGCCAAGGGGAGCTTGGGACACCAAAAAACGATTCGAGCTATGTACGCCAGGTAGTGTAGTCTTCCACCGCTAATAATTTGGTAGTTACAATATTTGTGACATTAGTTGCCACATGTGAGATACTCTGGGCGAGATCTGTGAGGAGTGAGCCAGTCGGGCTGGCTGCTGGTGTGCGAGAGGGAGGGATGACAGAGGAGACACCAGGTGAGCCAACAAAAGTGGGACCGGCAAACGATGATCCAGCCGAGAAGGGTGGCGAGTAGAGACCTGGGACCGCTGGCATGGCAGATGGCTGCCATGGAATTCCCGGATGAAGAGGCTGAAATAATGAGTAGGCACCGGGAATATCAGCGACGAACGAAGAAGAGGCTGGCGATGGTGACATGACTTGTCCAGGCTGCGACAGAATCACCTGCGGCGGCGCGGTCAGAGGAACGGCGGCGCTGGTGATGACTACGGCTGCGTCGGTGGAGGCTGATGTGACCGGCGCCATAGTCGAAGAAGTTGGAGCCACGGTGGAGACTTCCATGGAGGAGAAGAAGAGGCCTGCGGCGGAGGTGTGTTGAGGCACTGCGGAAGCCGTGTAGCGAAACAAGGGTTAGGGAAGAGAGGAAAATTTAGGGCTCTGATACCATGTGAAATAATGGAAAAGGTTACTCCCTGAGGAGTCCTGGCAGATATATTTATATTAGAGAGAGTTTAATGTAAAGTACAATACTGAGCCTCTAATAATTCTATTACTAGGCACATAAGGGTTCGAAACTCAATGGAGTGAGTTTCAGCCCCTGATAACTTCAAGCTCCCCCAGCCCCCTCCCCGGACGTTCCCTGGAGTAAAAAAAATATACGAAAAATAGTTTTTATTCTCCCAAAAGGTATTTTGAACCCCCCAAAAATATTTTCGCACCCCCAAGATGACTTTCCTGGGCCCGCCCCTGCATCCAAGTCAACCACCAGATTCACTCGGATTTTGGGTGTTTCATCATCGCCTGTGAACCAGTGACCATCATAATCCGATGGGGTATGGCGGTGGCCGGTGAGTATGGCAGTGACCGGTGGGGTTCGATGAACAGAAACTCCATGAGGCAACAAATAAGGTCTGACAGGAAGAGTGATGAAGCTAAGGCAGGGTAATTTGGGTTTAATCAAAATATTTAACCCAATATTCCTCAATGTTGTAATTATTTACAAAAAAACAAAGAAGCAATTCAAAGCATCCATATACTTGTTTGAGCTTTTGGCTTAAAGCACTTTAATTTAAGTTGAGGTTGGGACTTGCAAACACCATTTTTAGCTCATTTTACAAAATAAGCATTCGGTGATTATTATTATTATTATTATTATTGTTGTTGTTGTTATTACTATTATTACTATTATTACTATTGCTACTACTATTACTATTATTATTATTATTATGATTATTATTACTGTTATTGTTATTATTATTATTATTATTACTATTATTAATAAAAATATTATTGTTATTATTATTATTCTTAATAATAATAGTAGGCAAATTAAACCAAGGACGGGGGAGGGGGGCAGTACCGGCTCGCTGCTAGTGTGAATAGAAGTACGGTGTTGTCATCTTCAAAATTTACTAACATGTTTTGACATTAGAAGACTTTAAGCATATCAGTATACTGCGGTGTAAGTGGTAGTATTTCTGGTAAAAAAGTGGTAGTATTTTCCAAATTATTCCTATTTAAGAATAAAAATATATCACTTCTATTTTGGAATTTACTACTCCGTACTATTTAGAACACTTTCTTTATGCATAAACACCTTTTACATATACTCCGTATATGAATAAAATGAAAAGTGTTTACAAAAATGTGACTAGTGATTAAAGTAGTAATGAAATAAAAGTAAGTTATGTTGAACTTTTAAACTTAAGTTACTATGACACTAAGTTGTAGTAACTACTCCCTCCGGTTCTCAAACAACTTCCCACTTTCTTTTTCGGGAAGTCCCAAAATTAATTTCACACTTCTTCTTATTTCTTTATTTGGCAAATTATCTACACCAAAAGAGTGCAAAATAGTGTCAAACAGTGTCAAACAGTGTCCAAATAGTGTCAAACAGTGCACTCCCCAGTAAAGTCAAATTTATTTTCTTAATCTGTGTGAAGTCAAAGTGTGAAGGTCTTTGAGAACCGAAGGAAGTATTAGTTATATTTGTGTAAATATGTTTTATTTTAGTAATATTTTTGAAAAAAATTGTTGCTTTACTTGCTAAACGATACTATTACATGCCAACAAAGTCCCCCCCTATTAATTGTAGTATCACATATGTAGCCATTTACGACACAAAAACACTAAAGAAAGACATCAATAATCAATGTATAGTTTAGATTTGAGATACGAGAATCTTGTGTATATATATAAATGGCCAAAAATGAAGAAACTACGAGTATTAATAGTAGTAGTGTTTGGAACACCGTTAATTACAACTTTTATGGATCGGAACTTAATATCTAGACTACGTACGTATATAATACCAATTAATTTGTTTTATTTATCTTGTAATTAATATTGGTATGTGTTTTATTTATTATAAGAATTGTAATTTACAAATCCAGAGTAGAACATTGGTCGCCGGGAGGATACAAATAGAAACTATGGTCAATGATCTAAAATCTTTGGAACTTGGACAGGATATCTATGAATCCTATCAGACCATGCATTGGTTGGATTGGGATGGAGTTGGGAAGTGCACACCCAAACAGCACTGTTACACTTGAATCCACTTCCGAACGCAATCTGCCAAACCCTCTCACCCTTTTTAATCCTCCCTTTCGCTTCCAGGTAGCTAAGCTCGTACCAAATCGAAGAAGATGAAGTGTTGCCGAATCTGTATAGGGTCATTCTTGAAGCCTCCACGTCTTCCTATTATATATCATAACAATAATAATGTTTTTATTTATTATTTAGTTAATTATCAGGATTTCATATATATATGTTTTAGTTCAAATAAGAACATCATTTTATGAGAAAAATGAGAATGAATCTGGACCGTACCGTTAAATTTGCTTTTTGTGAAATTCAATGTGCATTAGATGAAGCTGTAATGTGTATTAGGTGACATTGAAACGTGCAGCACAAATGATACAACGTAGTGATATTATGTGAAGCTAAATTGTGCATTAGCTGAATTTGAAATGTGCACTATATGAAACTAAAATGTGCAGAATAAAAGGTACGATGCGATGTTATTTTTGTACCTTTTATTCTGCATATTTCAGTTTCACCTAATGCACATGTGAGTTTGAATTTTAATTCTGCACATTTCAATATCATCTAATGCACATTTCGGTTTCACCAAATGCACAATTCAGTTTCACATACTTCAATCCAACGGTCCAGATTCATTCTCATTTCTCTCCTAAGATCTGTTCTTACCGGAACCGCTCCCTATATATATATATATATATATATATATATATATATGTGTGTGTGTGTATATATATATATATATATACACACACACATATGTATATATATATGTATGTGTATATATATATATGTATATATATGTGTGTGTGTATATAGAAAAATTCTCAGGTCCAGCACCTTCCGGTCCGAACGCCGTCCGAACACCGCCGTTTGGGGCGGTTACCGGTTGAATTTTTTGATGAAATTTTTTGAGCATGTCAAATAATTCGTTGAAGTTAACTGCGTTTTTCTATGTATAATTTGGCGCAGTTAACTTCGACGAATTATTTGACTGCCTTCCTGATCGAATTTTGATCTGAAATTTGGTATGAATAAACTAAACTTGATGAGGAACATTTTCAAAAAATTTCATCAAAAATTTCCGGCGGGAACCGCCCCAAACGGCGGTATATACATACATACCTTGCTCAACTTAAGGCTATCCTGGACCGCATCAATAACAGCCCTTCCACCTGCATGGATGCAGAAATGTTCAAAAGCCTTGTTGAAATTAGGCACGAAAGTCTCTCTTTTTCCGGACACTTTCCTACTCAGCGTTGCAAACCCATAGAGAATAAGTTCAGATAAGGGTAAAACAAGGGGGGCGAGCTCAGATATGTTGCTTTTCAGGGCTCTTCCTGCCACCACACATTAAAGCTAGAATAAGAATAAAACATGGGCAAAGTTAAACTCATATATGAATTAAATAGTACCACATTGGCGTTATACCATTTCCATTTCCAAAAAAAAGTGACACACCATCCCTGAAGCCTCCAACACCGACCAGATAGTTAGATGGGATGATGTTAAGAAGTAGGATCGTCATGCGTGCAACAAATTTACTAGTTTGAAATATAATGTTGTCATTGTCTCAAAGTGAAGTTCAATTCAGATTTGAGATTTATATTCTCCTATCCCACGCAACTATATTTTAATTTCGGGTTTACATTTCGAACTACATTTCAATACAAAAAACAGGTTCAATGTGGATTTATCATGGTAAGAATTGATATCGCAATTTCATTCTAATTTCTTCATCAATTTAAGCTTTTGAACTTATTCAACGCGGATTTATGAATCTGTGTACAAAATATTTTATCATAAGATGTTTGCCGATCAAATACGAAGTATGAGTTAAAATTAATACTCCCTCCACCCCCAAACAAAAATAAAAACATCTTTTTTTGTACACATCAAACTAGACAAATAGAAGCAATCTTTGGCTTCACATCTTGGCAGGAAGCTAAGAATCCCTAGCGGGAAGACAAAGATCCTGGCGGGAAGCGCATTCAATGCAGAACATTTGGTGGTTGGGATCAAGCCATCCACAGCCCGCCACGTCAACACATCCAACTACCCATTGGCAGTATAAATAGAAGCATTTGTTTCATTGTAGGGGGAGGGGGGGGGGGGGGGGGCGACTAAGCACTCCAATAGTATAACATTGTAACAGCTCGTAGCATAGGCTAGGGACGAATGGCTTCAAGCCTTTGTACCGAAATTAATGTACTAAGACTTCTTATCGGGCCCCTTCTTGCTTGTTTCTTTTGTCTATTTACTAACTCCTCCACTCGAGACCCCTAGGTTACGTGTTGGGCCTACGGGTTGAAGGAATAAACCTCAACACTGGCGCCGTCTGTAGGAACTGATCAAAAGGTCATCCTAAACTAAGCTCTCAGCTAAAAACCACCCCCGAAAACAGTTAAGACAAGTAGATGAGAAGAAACAACGAGAGGAACATCCAGGAACTATCCGAACGGCTGGCCCACAGCAGGGGGAGCCGCAACCGGACAACAGGGGCCCGCTCTAGCAGTTCGTTGTCTCGCAGGGGCTTTGGGGTGCTCACCGATATGATCCCCAATGAGGTCCGACGGGATCAAGACGTCCTGCGGGAAATGGCAGACATTATTCAACATCTGGAAGACGAACGGGAGACAGAACACGAGTATTCCGCAAACACAGAGCGTACACCGTTCTCCCCACTCCGTTCCATGCAGACGCTCGGCGAGTGTAAGGGTGAATATGTTGATTCTTGCTCCTCAACCTGTACGCGGATCATTAGGGATACCCGGTCCCAGGATATGGCGAGGAACACCGGAGGCAGGTTCTTCCGAAGAACACAACAACATGCGGTCCAGGATCGCACCCCTATGATGCCCCGCAATGATCATGCGACCTGGGAACAGACCCCCATGGTCGGCGACATGGGACAGGGGGGTCTCATCACCAACAGGCAGCATGGCTCTGACACCGTGCGTGCCTAGGATGCATTGGCACTGGTGACCCCCACGGCCGTAGCTCCTAACCCATGAGACGTGCAACTCATGGATCTCCAAAGGCATATCAACGAGCTCAACCGACAGGCGGAAACTGAGCCAGCTCAGCCCGGGATTGCCCTATCCTCTCCCTTCTCTGCCAGAATCATGGCAGCGGAGATGCCAAGGGGCATTCGGCCGTCCGGCACCCTAACTTATAATGGGGCTGGGGACCCGAAATCCCACCTACTTTCATTCCAAGGAGAACTCTCCATGTTGAGAGCCTCCGATGAGGTCATCTGCAGGCTGTTTTTCAGCACCCTCAGAGGGCCGGCACAAGAATGGTTCGGGCAGCTCAAGCCCAGATCCATTGATAGCTTTGAACAGATCTCCGAATAGTTCATGGTGCAGTTCGTCTCCAGCTCCACGCCGAAGAAGCACTTCAGCTGGTTGACGAGCGTCCGCCAAGGGCGGGAGGAAACCCTATCCACCTTCCTCACACGGTGGAGGGATGAAACTCTGAAGGTCGAGGACCTCACGGAGAGTACGACCATCACCCTCTTCACCAACGCACTTGTAACCAGGGATCTTTACGTGGAATTGAAGAGTAACCCCGGGAGCAGTTATGTCGAGGTACTAGCCAGGGCACAGAGATATGCGGCGGTCGAAGAGGAGATCGCCTAGAGAGATGGGGTGGCTGCCCCTATGGCCCAGAAGGTAGCGGACCAACTGGGGACGATGCCGGCAGAAGCCCCGGTGATGAAAAAGAAGAAGATGGGTGGTGGTTATGCCCCTTGAGGGACCCAAGATCCTCCATCCAACGACCGGCGGGAGTTTACCGGACTTATCCCATTGGCATTCACGGTGAGCCAAATCCTTGAGGCCATGAAGGATGAGGGATGCTCGAAGAGCCGTCCGTCGCCAGAGGCCCGATGGGAAAGAACCTCAACGCCTACTGTGAATACCATTGCACGGCAGGGCACATCACGGATCACTGCAACAGCCTGAGGATGGCCATTGACGGACTTATTCAGAGGGGCTACCTCGGAGAGTTCACAAGGGAACCCACCCCTCAGATCCGGAAACAGTCGAACCACGAACCATTCACGTGGCGCAGGGACGATTGGCGGGAGGTAGAGGCCCAAGAAGCCGATTATCGCCATGCCAATAGACGCACGGAGGGGTTCCTCGAGCCAAACGGCCACAAAAAGAAATTGAAGATTAAATAATCTTCGGGGGTGCAAGGTATACGCCCGTCGAACGCTCTTGCTCCACAACATGGACGAACATGCTGCTGGCATGTGGAACGTAGGGCACCTGAAGAAATCCTTAGGGACACCACTCCACGAAATTCCTTCCTCCCAAAAAAATGAAGGAAGAGGGAGACATAACTCCCGAGGTCAGGGAATCCCAAGAGGGTAAACCTGTTCTCCATTCAAGAACACTAACCAGTGCAGTGAAGCTGCTGGTGCGGTGAGAAGGCGAACAAACGTCCCCAAGAGGATAAAACGTTCTCCACTCAAGAATACTAACCAGTGCGGTAAGCTGCCGATGCGGTGGGAAGGTGGACGAACATCCCCAAGAGGACAACTTGTTCTCCATCCAAGAAGACTAACTAGTGCAGTGAAGCTGTCGGTGCGGTGAGAAGGTGGACGAACGCCCCCAAGAGGATAAAACATTCTCCACTCAAGAACACTAACCAGTGCGGTAAGTTGCTGGTGCGGTGGGAAGGTGGACAAACGTCCCCAAGAGGATAACATGTTCTCCACTCAGGAACATTAACCAGTGCGGTGAAGTTGTCGGTGCGGTGAGAAGGTGGATGAACGTCCCAAGAGGATAAAGTTGTTCATAATAGAGATCACCGGCCTCGCGTAGCACAAGACCCAAAGGCCACACGGAGGACCGGTGAGAAGATGGTTTAGCGGAAAAAACGGACATCCCCAAGAGGATTGAGCTCTTCTTCACGAAGATCACCGACATCCCGTCGCATAAGACCTAAGGGCCGCATGGAGGACCGGTGAGGAGATGTTCGAGCGAAACCTCAACACTTCATGAGGATCACCGGCCTCGCGTAGCATGACCCAAAGTCCGCACGGAGGCCCAGTGAGAGAAATGTGGAACAAGGAACAAGGGGTCCCCAGAGACGAACAACATAGAATATGATCCCTCTAGACAAGGGGTCGTACGTCCCCAATGGCTGCCAAGGCCCGTTCACATAGACGGGCGGGCTCGAAGATCAAGAATATAGCAGACGACTATCGCATCAAGGGCGTCGGCTAAAAGCAGTACGGCCGAAGAAGTTCTACTTCAAAGTCCACCGGACGGCCGTCCCCTAAGCCAAGCCTCCTGGTGAGACCCCCTAAAAACATCCCAAGGAAGAGATGAGCGTCATCCCCACAGGGGACGTCCGGCTCTTAGGTACCACACCCGGAAAGGTAGGTAGCAGAAGGGGACTTGTGTTGGGTTAATGGTCCAACGAGGATGGCCCGTAAACCCTCAAGCGCATCCTACGAACGTCCCTGGAAGGCCCAAGACAACGAAGTAGCTTTCCGCTGATCGGGAGAGGCTCGTCCCCAACAAGGCCAGGCTTCAGCTAAGGCCAGGGGACGTACGTCAGGAGACACAGTGGCCCGTCGACTTTGGAGGCAACGAGGGCATTAGCTGGAGACGTACGTCGACTTCATTTCTACTTCTTTATGTCACTCGCACGCTCGAAACATCAGAAGTGGGGGACTTGTGTTGGGTTAATGGCCCAATGAGGATGGCCCATAAACCCTTAGGCGCATCCTACGAACGTCCCTGGGAGGCCCAAGACAACGTAGCACCTTTTCGCTGATTGGGAGAGGCTCGTCCCCAACAGGGCCAGGGGACGTACGTATAACAATCGGCGGGTACCTTGTCCCAAGGGACGTATGTATCGTAGTTTAAGCGAGTGCTTTGGGACAAGGACAAAGCCGGATGCTCGTCTTACAGGACTCCGGACCCAGCAGGAAGCAGGGCGACGGGCTGGACAGGTGAGAGATGATTCCTTTTTAAATTAAATGTTCACTTTTTTTGTCTTTCTATAAAGTTGTCATATTTTTGTCTACTAAAACCTTATAAGTAATATTTTTGCAATTCTTTCTTTAAATTATGACCGCAAACAAAATATTGATGTCTGCAGTACCAATAGTTTTATAGTGCACTTTAACGTCATGTTTATTTTATGGAATTTTATCAATTCAAGACTCGAAAGATAGATGAATTATCAATTCGGAACCTGAAAGATGATATGTATTAGTATAGGAACTGAATGGTGGAAAACTATCAATCTAGGACCCAACATTTCATAGGTTTTGATTTATTTATTTTTTTAAATTCAATTGCTAGTTTTTGATAAACTTGTCTTTACAAAACTTTATTAGTTTAATAAAACTAAATGATATTTAGAATTATCAAAATAAAAAAATTAATAAAATTCATGACAACTTTAGGCCCTAGATTGATAATTTTAAATCAGTTAGGTCCTATAATGATAGTTTTTCATCATTCAAGTCCTATACCGATACATTTCATCTTTTAGGTCCCGGATTGATAATTCATCTATATTTCGGGTCATGAATTGATAAAATTTCTTATTTTATTATTTGTATGGATGTTTTTACTTGGACTGTAATTTGCTGGTCTGGTCTGGTCTGGTCTGATCTGGTCTGGTTTGGTCTGGTTTCTTTGTATTTTTATAACTATCTAAGTCTGGTCTGATCTGGTCTGGTCTGGTCTGATCTGGTCTGGTCTGGTCTGGTCTGGTCTGGGAGGAATTACAGTCCAAGTAAAAACATCCTATGTGTACAATGACTCGTATATAAGTGCACAATACTTATTAAATTTCTCTAGTGCAGTTATGGTATATTATTCATGCACTTTTCTTTATTTTTATTTAGCTGTTTTTGCAAATACAATTGACATCGAAAGACACCATCATAATCATATCAAATAATTGTCAATAAAAGGCATTTTGTATCTAAAAATGTCAATAAAAGATTTTAGAATGTGTGATATAATAATGCACTTTGTATCTATTTTAAATACACATGATAAAAGTGCATTTCATTTTATAAGTGTCCACGTAGAATTTTTCGAAGTATCAAATAATAGTGAATTTTTAAATATTGAAAATGCAAGTGATTGTTATTAGTTTATATCGATGTAACTTATTTTCATTTTATAAAAAATCCATTGAAGTGCACAAATACAGAGAGTAAGGAGAGAGTAAGGTGCACATTATAAAAAGTACAAATTAATGAAATAAGAAAGGTTAATATAATAAAAGTATTAATTTATCTTTCTACTCATTTCACTAATAATGGTATTTATTGTTTAAAATTTAAATTAGTATTAGTTAAAATTAAATAAATGTTATTTCTTCGTAGGAAGAACAATAGGGACGGTATGTTTGTTGATTAACATATGTAGTGTGTAACTGATAAGGAAAGGAATACATGATTCATTAAGTGGTGCAAATAAAATGGAAGCAATAATTGAAGATGGAAAGGTTGAAACAGTAAGTATGGAACTGTAGGTTGATCCTAAATCTATACACACACTTATATATATGGAACACTCCATGTTGTAAGAATTGATAACAAATCCTAACTTATAATCTTGATTAATGAACGGTCATTTAAGTGAGCGGTGCACAATAATTTGATGTACTTCATTTATTAGCATCTAGCAAAACTAATTTGAGAGACATGGCCTCAATAGAGGGTAAAAATGTCAAAACCAGAAGAAACACCTTTTATAAGGTTCATTTATTAAGAAGCTGGAAAAAAGGGAGATTGAAATTCGGAAACAAAAAGTTGTATTCACACATAATTTGTATGTAAAGCACCAGAACAAGTATCTCGCACAAATAAGGAGATTCAAATTCAGAAACAAAAAGTAGTATTTCGCGCATAATTTGTATGTAAAGCATCACCACAAGTATCTCACTTACAATACCTAGTATTTAACGCACAATCACCAATATCTAATGCACACGAATAATAGTATCTCTTACATAATTTTGTACATAAAGCACTAGAAAAAGTACCTCACTTTTTATTATTCGCACAACAATAGAACTAGTATCTAACACATAAGGACTTCATATGACTTAAACTATTGAACTAGTATCTGACACACAATACGTAGATATGTCAAGAATCCATATCTAGCACGTAGTATGGACAGAGAATCACAACGGTATCGAGTTTCATGCTTGTCAATCTCATATCTCCACAATTTATTATCACTATGAAGGTGCATTTTGTATTTAGGGTTCTTGGTCGGCTATAAGTTAAAATGTTTTTTTATAAATTACCTTATTGGTTCTATTAGTTAAAATTAATCTTCGCGATTTTCAACCAAAGACACACTTCTCACTAAAATGTGTGTGTGTGTTATGTATGTAGGGCTAGGGCATGCAGTTGGGGGACAAGTGCCTGTTTACAATCCCAAAATTCAGTATCAGTACATATATACATACGCATGCATGTATGTACCTGCAACTTGGAGAAGATTTCTAGAGAGATGGACACCCTGATGACCCAAATCGTCATTGTTTTGGAAGACAGAGTGGTAGGATGCGTCATCTGCGCCGAAGTGGGTGCGGACAAGATGTTGGAGCTTGTATTTGGGGCGGTGGCGGCGGGTGCGGTGGTTGGACAGCAGGACGGCAACCCCTCCCATCCGGAACAGTGTGTTTGTGAGAATCATGGACTTGTCATTCCCCAGGTAGCCGTTGGGGGTGATGGCTTCCATGCTCACCACCAAAGCCACTGACTTTCGGTGGACCTTAAGCAGGTCTTTTGCCACACTCACCGACACCATTCCCGCGCTGCACCCCATCCCACTCAGGCTATAACTCTTCACATTGCTTCTCATTCCAAACCTGCATGCACCATCTTCCATCAATATAATTATGTATGTAGTACGTAGTACTTTGTATATATTATTGCTTTAATATATTTCCGCACACCCATCACTACATGTCTACATGCATCAATCCTCTAAAATGAGATGTTTTAGAAATCGCCCTAAATAGGAGCAAAACGTTTTGTAATTCCAAAATAAGAGTATCATGTTTTTTTATTCTCTGAACAGGAGTATTCTGCCAAGTTTGGAAGAAAATGTCATGTTTAAAGCCTAGTAACGCCAAAGTTGGCAGAAATTTACTCCTATTTAGGGAATAAAAACATGATAGTCCTATTTTGAAATTTCAAAACTTTTTTACTCCTATTTAAGGAACTCTCTCTAGGTGTTTTCATATATGACGGTCGAATTGTGATGTTTTCTCAAATGGTCTTTTGGTTTTGTTAAATCCAAATGGATAAAACTAAAGTTAATTAGATACTACCTCCGTTCTCTTTTAATTGCAACATCGGACTTTTTGTACTATTCACATATTCTACTTTGACTATATTTTATTAATTAATGTATTATAAATTAAATTTTTAAATAATATTGTCAAATTCTTCTCATTCTAAATTTTCAAAATATGAATTTTTTAAATTTTTACTAATAGAGAATGAAAGGTGTTAATGTTCAAACTTGTGCATTGGCAAACGTGAAATGTTGACAGTTGCAATTAAAATGAAACAGAGGAAGTATATAATTAAACAACGCCTTATTGGATTATTATTAATCTTAATTAATAACATTAATTGTGTCTGCATAGGAAATGAAGTTACATGGGAAGTTGATGCCTAGAGAATTTGAAAGGTTGCCTAGACCAATTAAAAGGCACCTCTAAAAAATTTAAAAGGCATCTAGAATCACTACAAAAAACAGGTTTCTTGTGTCCGTTTTCTAACGTCGGTTTTACAAACCGACATTAGAAACTATCCTAGCATCAATTTACAAAAGCATTGACAAAGATTTTGTGTTTTGCTTCTGAAGAGTCTAACAACGGTTATTTATGGTTTTAGCAACGGTTATAAGAGACATATGGTTCTAAATAAAAAACGGTATAGATTATGGACGTTTTTTGGCATTCCGGCGTTATATTTTCCATTCGGCGCAATGAAGACTTCTTATTTTCGGTATAGATTATTCCAAGTCTCTATTTTCATGTCTTATTTTTATGATTACACCTTTAGTTTTTCCCTTTTGATTTTTTATGTCTCATTATTTTTTGAAATTGAATGAAACCTTATATCTCAGGTGTTGTAGTTTATCTTTTGCCTCTACTATTGTTTTTCTTCCACTTGAATCTGGAAGTATAGTGTGAATATTTAGAATTTCAGTATGACTTTAAACTAGCAGTTGCCAAAATCCAAGGGTTGTTCGCTAGTTTTATAAAAGTTCAATTTTTTCAGTTAAATCTTTGAGGAACCCCTATTGGATAGGTCTGAAAATGGGGGTTGAGCTTGAAGAAATGTTTAGGGCAAGGTTGTTCAATAATGGTAATTTTTCCATTTAATTTGTGGGTCTTAACTCTCTATATTCTTTGTTTATATTTAATACATGTTAACTACATGAGATAAAAAGCCATTGTTTTAATTGTTATAATAGTTAAAATGTGATATGCACATGGACACAATGTTTGTCTACCTTTTCATCTACTATATTCTAATATTTGATTCCATTGTATTCAGTTTTCCGCATAAACAAGTGTGTATATGTCACTCTAAATCTGCTCCCACCACACAATTAAATTATAAGTGTTTTCCTTTTAAATTTTTAGTTCATGAATCTCCTCTCTTTGATCAATAGAATCAATATAAGAGTAGGTCATTCAAGGCCATCACCATTTGATATTTTCTAATCAAATTGCAGGAAGTCAAGATGAGTTTGTTCTTTCTACAGTCATATTTAAAACTCTTTTAATGTTCTTATCTGTACATATGTAAACACTAACTCAATCTTCACATTTACTTGTAGGAAGATACTCAAGTATTTAAGCAAAGATCGTACTACCCTCATGAGCAAGGAGCATGAGAAGGAGCAAGCTAAATGAAAATGTACACAATCTTGAATTGATAATGTCTTCAAATGCGTAGAACAACATTTGAGACTAAAACTACCAGGGGTTAGTTGCTTGCAACTTTTTTTTATAGACAACAGGTTCTGTCCATCATGTGTTCACTACCTTACGATCTATTTCATCATGAATTTTGCTTGAGCTTATACTCTGTCTTGAAATATGTAGACTAGAAGGTAACTTACAGTTTGCAATACTTCATTTTTACGTACGAGTAAAGCTTAAAAAGATAAAATTTGTATTGGATTTCAATGATCAACATGAAAAATTCTTGATTAACGTATTTTACGTATTTTGACTGAGTTCTGAACTTGAGGTACTTCATTACATGCCATTAAATTCTTATATTGCATGTAATATTGTATTATTTCTTTATTTTTAGATTTGAGGTTCAGATTGATTTTTTTTTATAAAAAAAACTTTTGTTACTTAGTGTCTGCTATAAATGACACTAAATGCTAAAGTAACTAACACGGTAGGTGTTGGCAAAGGTTATAACCGATACTATATCCAACATTTGTAACTTATTTTAAACTTCTAGTGTCGCTAAAACACGACGGGAAATACGAAAGCGCATCGCGTCGGTTGTTTCGACGGTCTCGAATACCGACACAAGAATCTTCCCCATGGAGCAATTGTTGATGGTCTCAAAGACCGTCGTTGGATCAACCAACGAAGGTTTTAACCGACGTTAAATACCCAAAAAAAGCGACGCTAAATGCATGTTCTTTTGTAGTGAATCTTGTGTTAGAATTGATTATCTTGTCTTTGTATTGTCAATATAAAGGCCACTATGTAAAGACTTTGTGGGTGAAATATGGTGAAGTTGAGTGAGCATTACTGATACAAGTGTATTTTCTCCTCCACTATTGTGTGTGTGTGTTGTGTTTATCGGTTCTGTTGAATCTCCGGCCAAACTCCAGTTAATCTTGGACCCTCAAATTGGTATCAGAAACCAATCGGTATGGTGAACAGAGAAAATGGATGCCATTACATTTGGCCAACTTCCCTAGTTGAAAAAAGCAAACTTCGACCGGTAAAATACTCAAATGAAAGCATTGTTTAAAGCTCAAAGTGCTTAGAACATCGTTGAAAACAAATACACAATGCCAGAAAAAGGGTCTGTATTGACGGTTGCCCAACAAACAAAATAAGACGAGCATATAATAAGACAAGATTACCCTATTTTGGTTGCTTCAAGTCGTGGACGACTTCATCCATGATAATATGTCTGACTCCATTACTTCAAAATAAGTGTGGGACCTCATATACAAAGCGTTCAAGGGTGTTGACCGAGTGAAGTAAGTTAGGCTACAAACTCTCCGGGGAGAACGAGAATTGATGCAGATGAAGAAGATCACTGAGATGGTGACCAAATACATAACAGAGTGGTGGCTCTAACAAACCAGATGAAATTGTGATATATGATATTTAGTAGTGCACAAACACCATATTTTGGAAGTGTTTTACGTTTTGTTTACTCGCCTTTTGTACAATTACGAGGTAATCTTTATCTTCAAAAAAAGACTAGAATTAGAAGATATCAAAAGATTTTGGCATGTAAGCAAGAAACACTATAAATAAGCAAGAACAAATCACTTGGGACCGTAAAGAAGGAGCTTGGAGAAAAAAAGTAGCTTCATGAGAGACAAACAAAGAAGAAAATTCTGATTTGGTATCACACCCGATCGGGTATGATTCAACGTGAAGATCGCAGAAGACCAGACGAAGCAAAAAAACACAAGGAAATCAAATTTGGTCATATACCTGGCCGGATATATTGACATACCCGATCAGGCACCTAGATACCTGATCGGGTATTCGAACCAACCACCTCATTTCTCCTATAAAAACATCACTCCCTTTCCATTTCACAAATTCATTAATTCCTCCAATCATAGAGAGTTTATCCATGTAACTTAGGTAGCCTTTTGAGCATATTTTTTGCTATATTGAAACTTGTGATTTGTAAGTTGTGCATTATTTTTTTAACCATTCTCTCTTGAATACTAATTATAGTTCTAATTATATTTTATATTGATATTTGATGTTTGCTAAGTGATCCGGTGAAGCCCCAAAGATCACTTAATAATAAGTTCATAATATTCATATGACGGCCGGCCCTAGGAGAAACCCTAGGCAGCCATCTCTCTCCTCCAGCGAGATTTGATTTTCGAGTCTTCTCTTCTTCAAGTCTATGCTTCCAGTCTTGTGGGTTCTGGTCTGACGTCTTTAGCCAAGAGATCTGTCCGCTTCATGTGAGCATGTGGTATGGTTTTCTCCTAGCGATTTGTGGGTTTCTCATCAGAGTAATCAATCTGGTGAGTTTTCGTTGTTCATGGTTTGCAAAGCTTTTTCAACTTTGTTGTTCTGAGGCTCCAGTTATTCGTCCTCCACTTGAATTACCGCCTCGCTCCACGTAAATAAAAGCGGTAACTGGATCTCTTTTTTGTGGCTGGTCAAACTGATGATTCAGACAATTTCGACTCGATATAGTTTTCTTTGTTGGTTGTTAGTCAAATCAATTATCTCTTTCCGATGGCTGGTGAAGTCAAATATTTTATTTGTAATTTTTTATTTCTTATTTGTAGTAGCAAGTGCAGTAAGACTGTTACACTAGACTACATTATTGTGGGTTTAGCGATCTGGGAAGATTCATATGATCTTTCCCGTTCAAAGTCTCATCCCATTGTAGTCTTAGACTAACATTTACTTGTTTGTTAGCTATTACGGAGTATTTGATATAAATAAATTAGTTGTTTGATTTTCAGAAAAAAAATGATCAATTAGTTAATGATTTGATATTGATTATTACTAGAATCAATCAATGAATATGCATGTTATTCACTTAGTTATTTCATAAGAAGTAACTGTAGATTACTAATGCATGCATCTCATGAATAATAATCTAAAGAGAAATTAATCATATTGGTTAAACTAAAAACTTTTTTTTGAAAGGAAAACGACTATATTGATATCTTTAGAATGAGATCGTTACAACAATCTCAAAATGACGAGAACTGACAACAACCTTCACCTTCCAACTACTACTTTTAGCCCTACGATTAGACATAGAGACGACCACCCCTGAAGGAGCAATGTGAATCGCTAACCACCAGACGGGCTTAATGCAGCTATTGCTGAAAAAATAGATATGTCCCCCACTAACAGTATCAAATCTAGCCGAACCCTCGATCAATGTAAAAAACCTATTACCATAAGCAAATGCGAAAAGCAAAACGATAGCAACAAATTTCTTCAAAAACAGACTAAAAATGGGGACGATGAACTTAAGCAAGAAGAATTTATTGAGCCGCTGAACCCAATCTTCCAGCGCGGTGTTCCGACCTCTAATCATCCATTTCTAGCATGGCGGTGGTTAAGGAGGGGGCTGGATTTTCATCCCTTCATCTTCTTCCTTGAACACCCTGATCTGCCCGTGATTCGCCTCCATCTCTTGGCCTCACGCGCTCCAGATCCCTATCATCTCCCATGTGCTGCAATTGAGATTCGCCAAGACCCTCCGACCCCGAATGCTCCCACGCCCCACCCTGTGCTCAGAATGAGGAAAACTAGCAAAACTCCGGGACACTGAAGCGCCAAGAAAGCCATAGCACCGTCCGCCGAAAACCTAGACTTGTTAGGACCGCTGTCGCCATGAACCTAAGCCCTTCGCTGCTCCGAAGCGATGAGGGAAACCCTTAGGGCCTGTTTACTAACAGAGATATTTTTCAGTTTTCTATTTCTGTTTTTCGTTCTCCAATTTTCTGTTTTCATTTTTCAGTTTTTCTATCTCCAATTTTTTGTTTTCATTTTTTAGTTTTCCATTTTCAAATATGAAAACATGTCCATACAAATTTTTCACCCGGTTCTCTGACCGACCAAAAGACGGAAAGTACGATCCCAGTCCGGAACTGAACCTAATACAACCCAAGTATGGTACTGGGTCCCACATATAGGAAAGTCGGGACCAAAATCGGCTGGTCCCGGTCGTTCTCAACAGTTAGTTTGATGAATTCTTTTCTCATTTCCGTATTGGTTAACAACTCAATGGCTCTTTTAAAACTCTTCACTTTAAAAAATGATTTCGAAAAATCGAGACTGAACCGTCGGGTCATTGACCGACCCTGACAGAACGCCGGGTCATTTACGAGACTGGCCCGAGACCGCCTGGTTGTCGATCGAACCAAACACACACCATCGGCTCATTTTCCAGATAGGATGAGGACTGTCAGGTCATTGACCGGACCAGACGGGGACCGTCGAGTCGTTGACTAGACCGAATCCGATCAGGACTACCTAGCAGTCGATCAGATCGAACAAGTAGCGTCTGGTCGTGGATCGGACCTGACAGGAATTGTTAGGTCATCGATCGAACCGGACAGGGACCGTCGGTTCGTGGACCGGAACGAACAGGGACCGCAAGGTCATGGACTAGACCGGGACCGTCGTGTCGTCGACCGGACCGGGACCGTCGGGTCATCGATTGGACTGAACCGGGTTTGCTCGACTGTCGACCAGACCGGACATGAACTGCCGCGTCAATGACCGGAGCAGACTGCCGGGTTGCAGGCCGGACCAGATAGGGACCGTCGGGTCGTTGACTGGATCGAATTGGAACAAACAACAAAGCGGGACCGGATCCAACACTAGGCGTAAGTATGCAAATTCATTACAACAGCCCTGCAGGATCCGCGTTTTCCAAATTTGGAAAACTTGTAAAAGTCACTTCTCCAATTCTTTAAGAAAAACAAAGACATGTCTCTCTTTTTTGTTTTGGAAAACGATTTGGTCAACGCAATTTTCTGATTCCTTTCTCCAATTTTCAAGATTTTTTTTAGGAAACACGTTTTATGTTTTTTATTTTCCAGATTTCTGAAAAACTGGAAAATATCTATGTTAGTAAATAGACCCTTAATGTTTAGTTGTATTAAGTAAAAACATTATTAGAAATTATAATTGGTTAAACTAAAAACTTATTTGTGTTGAGGTTGATGAATATTTTTGTTCTATATTGACCAATAGTAAAGTCTATTAAGGAATATATCTTGTCATTAATAGTGATCTAGATGACTAGATGAATGAGTGTTGATCAAGTATTCCAGAGGGAATATTTAAACTTTAAAGTAGTAACAGTTTAAGAGTCATATTCATATTCAACAAGCTTTTAGCTCTTTCTAGTTCTCTAACTGATGTGATATAGGCCCATTATATCGACGATACTGTGCTTGGTAATAATCTGTCATTTGTATTTCCAACTGGCTTCTAAAATATGTGATTCGAAAAATTCACAATATGAATATTCAGTTCACTGAACCAGAGGATGGCTACATTTGGCAACCTAGTTCCAATGGCAAATTCAGCTTTCTAGTGCCTATGATATTTTAGGGCCTATTATGGCCTTGAATCCCTGAGCTAAGTTCATTTGGAATAACCATACACCCAAAAATCCCTATGCCTAAGTCATATTTGGTGTGATATGATATAATTTGGTCTCACTTGATTTGATTAAGTTTGATGTGATTTGATGGAAAAGAGTAAAGCTATAAGGGAGAAAAGCTTAGGGAAAGAGAGCTAAAATAAGATATACTACTTCCTTCCCATAAAATTCTTTCTACTTTGACTTGGCACAGAAATTAAGAAAGTGGAATAAAGTGGAAATGTATGATTGTGGTTGTGTAAGAAAAAGGTGAAATGAATGTGAACCACACAAATTGTACAAAAATGGTAAGTGTGAATAATTTTTTGGGAGGACCCGAAAAGGAAAGTGGAAAGAATTTTATGGGACGGAGGAGTAATTATGAGTTTATGACTCTTTTTGTAATTAAAACAGAGCAATACTTGGTAGGAGAATAAGAAAATTGGTTAGAAGAGGGTGGATGGGAAATGATGAATGAAGATAGCAGCAGGTAAATACCTGTTGATGATCATAGAAGTAATGGAAGGGGTGGGGCAGAAGAGGCTGCAGTTGGACACAAGAATGTCGATGCGCTCCGGCTTCACCCCGTTCTTCTCCAACACATCCCTTACCACAGAAAACAGAACCGTTTCGGTCTCTTCCCTCGACGGCTTCAGAGAGAAGTCGGGAGGGAGGCGGTGCATGGCCATCGGGGCGCAGGCCTCGCCTCCGATCCCGGACCTTTCTGCCGACTTCGCGTAGAAATCGAGCGACCCGGGATCCTTGACGGACACACACGACCGGGCTTGTTCGATCAAAGTGGCTGTGGGCATTCTCAGTTCATCCGGGGGTCTGTAGCAGCAGAAATCTAGCAGGTACACCGCCGTCTTGCAGCTTCCTCCCCATGAAACATACCAGAGCAGCAGCAGCAGCACACAAAGCATGCCTGCCACTACCACATGATTCAGGGGGCTTAAACCATCATTTAACACATCTATATTCATCATCCTTTTCTTTCGGCCGACCGCCCCGCCGGGGTATATAAGTGAGTAGATAACTACGGCTTATTAGCTTTGCACTTTTGGGTGGCTTTATATATTAGTACGTTGACATCAGATTGTTTTGCAAAATAAACATTTTCTGGTCAACCAAGATCAAAGTTAAATCTTCTCTATTTGCTATCGATAATTAATTCAATTTTAATAATTCAAATTTTACATTTGTGGAAAGTTTAAAATTAAGGATGTGGGTGGAAAACTTTTGGAAGAATGACCGCATTATGTGCATTAAATTAGTGATATAAGATGAGGTCATGACTTTGGTAAGTGCCTATGCGCAACATAGATATAAGTAAAACAATAGTGATCTCAAAAAGTAAAAATTATTCGAAGAGCATGAATGTAAATTCTATTTATCCTGACGTGTTAAGTTCTATACGTAGCCAATTTTTATGTTTATTTTAAAGAATATTTTGTATTGAAGTTTTGGTATAACAGTTTATCAATATATCAATTATTTTCAAAATGTGTATCAATATAATTTTGAAGTGATTCGGTACGGTACTCTACCTTATACAAAATGCGGGTATACTAAAATTCTCAGTCAATTTAGTATACCTCGATATGGTAAGTAAGTATAACATATCGAAGAATTTCTCACCACATGCAAGTTAAGGTACAACTTATAAAGAATTGGTCTGGCGTGGTCCTACAATTATGCTATCTCTACGGGTTAATGAATGAAGTATTTGCGGGTGCAGTTATTAAGGTGGGTATTATGTTTGGGATTAGTCACACAATTGGTGTTCAAGTGGAATTGTTAGTGATTTATTATGGGTGGTTAAAACTTAAAACGTCATTTTTGGAATCATTGAAATGATGTGTATTCGATTAACAACTACGGCCGGTTTGTTAACCTATGGAACCCGGCCGGCCAACAAAACTCTCTCACTCCATGCATGTTTAAGAATTAGAACTTGCAGCTAGCTTAAAGTGGTTAGCATTTTCAATCCAAAATCGAATGGATGTTGAGAACAATCAAACCTGTCAAGCATAATTAATTTTTCATTATAAATGGTGTTTGTTTGTCATTTCTATTTGAAACTTCTTCAACTCTACTAAAGTTTAGTAGAATTCAATAAATCTATAGTATCTCTTCATACAATTATACCTATCTTCACTAGCTTTTTTAACTCTACAACAATTCACCCCATCATAATATCATACAATAAGTTTGAAAATAGCAAAAAGTTCATCACAATTGTAATAATTGAGGATGCCTTTAATTGGATTGTTTTCGATCCAAGAGTCGACTAGATCAAAATAGATCAAACCGGATTATACTAGATCAAAGTAGATGCACATATGACATCTACATCTATCAAACTAGACCAGATCAAACGAATTCAGACCAAATTAGACATAAACACACCAGATCAAACTAGACATGAAAATTTCAGTCCGGATATGAGAAAAATAAAACGGGCATCATGGTCTAGCATTTTTCAAAGTAGCGGATGTTTAACTAGATTTTCGGATCATTGAGATTGTAATTAAGGCAACCGTTCAACTCAAAATAAATTTAGGGGCATCATGGTAAAACTCATTCAAGTAGTTGGAAGCATGTGATGGTAGTCCAACACTAAAATAGGAAAACTTCCTAAGAATTAGGCTAATAATCAACAAGCATTAACTCCCTATGTTTTCTCTTACTTAATTTCCCTTAGTAATACGGAAATATGTTTTCTCTTACTTGATTTTCTTTTTAAATTTCCTATTATTTCACATATAATTTGGATAATTAATTTGATATAAAAATCATTATTCGAATTGTGCACTTTTTCATGTTTGATTGCTTTCTTGAGTAGATAAAATACTTCATCAACCTAATTCTGTGTATTTGCACTAGAACATTGAATACTTGCACTTTTTTCAAAGTATTATATATGCAACATCAAATTAATTAAATCTTTACACATTTTTGAATATTTAAAGACAATTGACATTTTTACTATGTTATTGTGCACTTTAAACTGCACTTCGATATATTTAGTTTGAATTTTGTAGAATATTGACTTACATTTTATACATTTTGTTTTGCACATCCATTTATTTCTTAAATAAATATGAACATAAATATACAAAGGTGTAGACTATCAATTATAACATGCATTTAAAATATATATAAAGTGCATTATTATATCACATTTTCTAATGTTCTACATTAACACTTCTTTATAAAAGCAATGCACTTCTACCATGTGCGTTGTAAATATATAAAAGTGCACTATTTGTTTTTCAAAGGATAAAAGTGTTGTATTATATCACACTTTTTCTAAAATTTACATTGGCATTTTTTACATAATGGAAAGCATTATTCTTTCAAAAGAATCAAATTTTCAATTATGATAGTGTATCTTGGTATCACTTGTATCTTCAAAAAATATTAAAATATAAAAACTAGTAAAAAGTGCATGTACGAAATATGCTAAGTGCATCAAAAGTTTAACATAAAGTTCATTGTTATTATCTTATTAGAAGTACATATTAAACACTTAACATGGACGCATCACATAACAATAACGTAAGTGCACTAATTGTGAGTGCAAATCTACAAGTCTAAAAAACTATGTTAATCAACACTTACAGTTATGCAATAATAATATGTAAAAGTGCAAGAGGAAATAAATATGATTGCATTGAAATCAACAACGTAACCAACAATTAAATATTTATGTAATTGTCCAACGCAAAACAAATTAACATAAACACTATAACAACAATGATGCACCATTTTATATGCATCATATCGTAATAAGCACTTCGATCCGTGCAAGTAAAATAATTAGTGAAAAAAGAATTTCAAAAATCATTCTCTATAAAAATGAATAAGTTTTCGAAAACAATAAACATTAGAACCAAGATGGATGCAAAAATAAATAATTAAAAACTGAATTTATTACTCAAGAATATAATCCATAGGAAGGAGATGACTCAAGTGGACAAGGAATAATTTTGTATGGTGAAGCCAAGAGAGAAAAAAAGAAACATGCTACGTAGTAGACATAAGAAACTAGTAAATCATTAATTATTGGAGATGGTTTAGGAAGGAGAGAAGCCATAATGATAGGGACGAATTTAAGATGGAAAGAAGATAGAATGACTCATCTAGCCTCCATAAGGAATAGTCACACGTAGAAATTAGGAGATGATCTAATGGTCCTTATTTATTCTTATTTCTCTCCTAAGATTATATTCTCACATGAACCTAAATCTATATATATATATATATATATATATATATATATATATATATATATATATATATATATATATATATTAGGTGAGTTAAGTGACTTTCCCGCTCATGCGTGCAGGGGCGTTTTTGTAACTACCTTAATTTCTATGAATCACCCTTTGAATGTCTAGCACTCTAGGAGACTGGTCTCTTTGTCCTTACGCTTTTTACCGCCGTTCATACTTTGTTTATCTCTTATCCCCTTCCTATTCATTCTGAACTCTAGAGATCCATTCTTCTTTAATTTTTCCGCCATCTCACTTCGACCAGTTCGACGCCTTCATCCATCTCTTGCATCTTCCAATTTCTTCCCTCCAACCTATCAACCTCGTCACCCACCGCCGCACCTATACACCTCCATGACCTAAACAAATAGCTTCAATTCGCCTGCAGCAATCCATCTCTCTCAATCAAGATTGAAGAAAGGATTCTGCTCGAGCAAACCGTCAGTAGAAGCTCGAAGGATGCCCTAAGAATTCAAGGTAATACTATATACTCCCTCCGTCCCATAAAATAAGTCTCATTTTCCTTTTTGGGCCGTCCCAAAAAATTGTTCTCATTTCTCTTTTTGGAAAGTTTTGTGTGGTTAACATTCATTTACCATTTTCTTACTCAACCACAACCATACATTTCCATTTTATTCCCACTTTCTTAAACTCCGATCCAAATTGAAATGGGACTTGTTTTATGGGATGGAGGGAGTATTGTGTTTACGGAGTAATTTACTGTCTACATCTTTTCACTTTTTTAAAGCTTGAAACCCTAATTCCATTCATTTTTACATGGATCCAGAAATCTTGTCCTAGAAATTCCATGTACACTAGAATGCCAATATTTTCTTTTTCCTATCTACACTATGACTATTAAGAACTCTAATACTTCAGTGTAAGTAGAGATGGATAGGGTTGTTTCTGACTTAGAGTAAAACATGTGTTTTTCCCATTTATTTTTTTATCAATGTTCAAAACTTATAAATTTTACAGATGAAATCTTTTTGTGAAAAGATAGTACTAACCTTCAAATGCAACTATTTATTGTAAATCAATACATGCATCTCTCTACAAATTTGTTGTTTTTGCAAAAAGACAACTTTCTTATACATTCATGTTCTTCATTATTCTGCTTGGTTAAACAAAAAACCAGTTTAAGCAAAATAGAAAGTTTTAAAAACATGTAGTTTTTGTTCAAGAAAATCTAATGACGAACCACTTTCTTTTTCTGAATTAAGATTTTGGAGTCTAAGTTATTAAACTTATGTTTATAGGCTATTGAGCTTGTGTTTTCTAATTCTCTTTGAAAAATAATTGAAACCTCGATGAATCTGAACAATTCTCTAAAATAGATCTCTTTGTCTGAAATCATAACATAATCTGAAATATCTCTATGCCTATTTTACTTGCTTAGCTCAATTAATTTTTGATTCAGTATTCAACAAGTCATACCAATTTTAAGAAGATTTATCAAGTTCTGTTAT